GGGGTTGATAACTTATGAATAATACCACACATGGATAGAGTGGGTCTTTTAACATTAATTAACCTAGTCTAGATAATCCCTTACAGATATGTTCGAAGATTTGTTTCCATGGTGACCTAAATCCCACAAAGTTGAAATCTAGATTAATCATTGTATTTTAACCACAAGGCTTTACCCTACAATCTGCTACTACAGTCCCAACTTACTATGGGGCTGTGCATGCTTTGGAGGGATGAGTTGGTGGGCCCATGTCCTCATTATTGGTGTGTGTGTGTGTGTGTGTGTGTGTGCTTATTGGTGTGTGTGTGTGTGTGTGCTTATTGGTCTGTGTGTGTGTGTGTGTGTGCGCGCGCGCGTGTGTGTTCGTTCTTCATTTTCGGAATCTAATGTCACACAACTGGGCTCTTGAGGGAAGTCATGTGTCTTTGAGCTGTAGCAGGGTTGGGGGAAGCTGTGATGTCCATTTCCTCCCTGTGCTATCTGTACTTCCTCTGCTCAACCAAGCTCTCAGTGCTTGTCCAGTTCTGGGCAGGAGCATGGAAGGATCTCTCTTCTGGGAAGATAAAGTATGTTTGGAGGAAGGAGTGGCCATCTTGTATGCAGCTCTGGGATGGCTGCAGTGGTTGGTAGGAAGGCAGTACAAATCTTTGGGGGAGAGAAGATGGACAGAGGCAGTCTTCAAAACTGGGGAAAGTACTTGAACAGGTTACAGTGCCTGATAGGACTATGCTCATTGCGCCTTGGGCAAACCCCATGGTGCAGGATTTGCAAGCCTGAGCCACAACACCCAGATGTGCCAGCAGACTAAAAGCTCTATTTGGTGTGTGGGGGATGGGGATCTGGGAGAGGGTCAATACTTCGTCAGGGCCACTTGACCCTAGGACTCTCTAGTCCATAGGAGTGGTCATCTCATTAACTTTTCCTGAATACCTCCTGTGGAAAAAGAAAAGGACCAAAAGTGGAGAGAAGGAACTGGCTAAAGTAGTTTGTCTTCAAACGGAAGAGACCATCACAAAGCAGTGGGTGGCCCACGTGGCACCCTTTGTGTTACGTAGATTGTCCTATTTCAAGGTTCACTGACTCCTGGCTAGATCAGTAGTAGGTGTGTGGAACTCTACCCTGGTTGGGATGATCCAAAATTTAGGGTTACCTAATTATTTCCCAGTTGCTAATTAAGTAAAGGTCTGTATTCTAAAATCCTCTTACCTCCATCTTTTGCCCAGAGCTCATCTGTCAGAATATGTTGGAATATCTCTTGAGGTCCAGAAACTCTGATCTGCGGCCACAGCCATGGCTGCTCATTTGATAGAAAAGTGAGCTGGAAGGATTAATTTTCCTGTTTCTAGGAGGGTTCCAGCAACTCCAAAGGTCCTGCACAGTTCTGCTGAATCACCCTGAGGCAGCAACTTCTCTCCTTGCACAATCGAGTTCAACTGACTCACTATCTGGAACAGCAAAAGACTTGAGACTTTCTCAAGGAACGCTAAGAGAAAGTCACCAACCAGTAACATTAGCTCTCCTGTCTGAGGGACTGTCCCTGGCTCCTGGGTACTATGTGAACTCTCTCCGTGGTACTACCCCTTAAGGCTGATGAGGCAAATCTCAGGAACCAGGAGTCTCCTTCCTCCTTCATTCCTGTCCTCTGTAGACTATCTGTTTTGGCTCTCTTCTTAGGTACCAGTTCTCAGGACTGTAACTCCAAGATCTGTCACCCTCACTTAGACATACGTGCAGGCAAAACACCAATGCACATAAAATAAAAATAAATTTTAAAAGAAGTTGCTTTAAAAAGGAAATGGTCTTCACTGCTCTATTTGCTGACAATTTAATTAAGCCTTGCTCCGGTTTTGCTGGTGGCAAAGATTTGGAGACCACCCACTCAATAAACGATTTGTTCCCCAGTTAGACGCGTCATTCGGGCTCTTGGGTTTTAGAATTAGACAACACTTTTGAAGACTTACCAAATGATTGTAATTGTATCTGCTATATTGTCACTTAGAAACACTCTGTTTAAACTTATATACTCAGGAGGGATCCCAATACTAATAATGTTATTTTTTTAACACATTTTGACTATGATAAAAGTTTTTGCTAAAATTTATTTACTTAATATGCTTTAAATATATTTTAACACCTAGGTGCTGTAAACTTAATTCATTTATGAGAAACATTTGTACTATTCTTATTGGCAAAAATGTTCCTCGTTGTTAATAAAATAAAAATCCCCTTCTATAAGAAAAGAATTTCTCATTTTTCATATCAAGTAATCATTTCACACATCCTGAGACAATCATTTTGTCTCTGAAATTTAAGAAATAATTGGTGGGGAAAAGTGGGAAACCCTCCTTTCCTCAATGAATCATGTTACAAAGATTTTCTTTTCTTTTTTTAAAAAAATGTATTTTAACTCGTCTGTGTGAGTTCAAGTGATCCCCTGGAACTGGAGTTCTGGGTGGTTGTGAGCTGCCCTGTGTGTGCTGGGAATTGAACTCAGGTCGTCTGAAGAGCAGCCAGTGCTCTAAGCTGTTGAGCCATCATCTCCAGTCCACACCTCATTGGTGCTTTTCTGCTTTCCTCTCACGGGACTCCAGTGCACAGATGGTGGGTGATTTTATCACACAGGATGAGGAGGCTATTGTATCTAACTGTATCTAGTGTTTTCCTTTCCTTTAGTACAGTGTAGCTTAGTAGGGCTGAAGATGGTCAAGATTATATCCTGGAGACGGGAGGTGGGATGGGAGAGAAAAGAAAAGCAATTTGATACGAGTCCTCAATCTCAGCAGCATAGTATTAGGAAAGTACACATAAGAGTTAAGAACCTGGGGCGCAGCCGGATGTGGTGGCACACACCTCTAATCCCAGAACTTGGGGGGCAGAGGCAGGTGCCTCTCTGAGTTCCAGGCCAGCCTCATCTACAGAGGGAGTTCCAGGACATCCAGGGCTACACGGAGAAACCCTGTCTCAACCTTCTACCCCCGACACAAAGAAACGAATCTGGGGTAGGGAACTCTTTAATCTATCCATGCCACTGTGGGCCTCCCAAAGATTTTGTGCCTACCATGATAAGAACGTCCTTAGTTTGGAGACTCGTTTGGGAAGATTGCGTGCTCTCTGGGTGTTTCTACCCATACTGTGCAATTACTGCCAAAGAGTCACTTCTTTGGTTCTCTATACAGCTGGGCACAGTTGCAACTTTGTCATGAGAATTATAGGAAGAAACCGGAGAGTCTGTCCCAAGCAGTGCAGTGGTCAAGTAGCCAGGAAAGGCTGTCCATTGGCTGTTGGCGAACCACCAATGTTTCATCCTTGTATGTCACTGCAGTTTATCAGCCTAGGGGTAGGTACACAGTTATCCTGACTTGGACACTCCAGATGTCAGTGTGTTCAATTACGAGGAGAAATCACTGAAGACAATCACAAACCTGTGGGAAGATCTATGTATATAGTCAAATAGGAAGCTATAAATTTATTTTTGAGTATTATTAGTGATGTAAAAAAAAGTAGAAGCCAGGCGGTGGTGGCGCATGCCTTTAATCCCAGCATTTGGGAGGCAGAGGCAGGTGGATCTCTGTGAGTTTGAGACCAGCCTGGTCTACAAGAGCTAGTTCCAGGACAGGAACCAAAACCACAGAGAAACCCTGTCTCAAAAAACCAAAAAAGTAGACATAACTAGCCAGATGGTTATGGCGCACGCCTTTAATCCCAGCACTCGGGAGGCAGAGGCAGGTGGATCTCTATGTTCGAGGCCAGCCTGGTCTGGTCTACGGAGCAAGTTCCAGTACAGGCTCCAAAGCTACCAAGTGGAAACTCTGTCTGCAAAAACAAAAACAAACAAACAAAAAGTGGAAATAACTAAAGCTTCTAGGGGCTGGAGAGATGGCTCAGTGGTTAAGAGCATTGCCTGCTCTCCCCAAGGTTCTGAGTTCAATTCCCGGCAACCACATGGTGGCTCACAACCATCTGTAATGAGGTCTGGTGCCCTCTTCTGGCCTTCAGACGTACAGACAGAATATTGTATACATAATAAATAAATAAATGTTTTAAAAAAAACTAAAAAAACTAAAGCTTCTAACACAGAATATATTTAAATTAAATGATATGCAGTGATTTGATAGTGCTTTTTGAAGGAATCTTAGTGACACTCAAGAAACAACCTGATGCTAAATAAACATGTACATTGAAAAATACTGGATAAAAATGAAATCAGTAGTTTTCATTTAGTGAAAAATTATGAGTATCTTATTTTTCCCAGGTTTTTAATATGTCTACTTTTGTATTTTTAATAGATGAAGACTAAGTTTGGGGTATTTACATGTATTTTTTTTTTTTTTTAATTTCAGGAGCACTGAGGCTGGACCTCCAGTCTTCTGGCATGCTAGGTGCTTCATCCCTGAGCTCCATCCCCAGCGTAAACTTAAGTATTATAAAAGCACCGTCCACAGTTGCTGATGCCTTTTGGGAGGCATCCTTCTCTTGTGGAATATCCACACACACTGTTTTCCACTTCTCCAACTTCTCACCATTCCTGACATGTCAGGAAGCTCCCTGACTCTGGGGCTCTCACACGCTGTCCTCCATCCTGGCATGCTCTTTGCCCTCTTCTATGCTTCCTCTCTCAAACTCGCTTCTAATGCCAGTTTCAGGTTCTCGTAAAGCCCTGAAGCAGCTTCATGGGAAGTTGCTCCAAGCTCTGTGCTCTGGCATTGTTTCATACCTGGACACATGCGGGTTCATTATGTGATCATATGACTCACAAATCCGTGAACTCTGATAAACTGTGAGCCCATCGGTGGTCGAGAGGACAAGGTGTTTACCTCTGGGCCATTGCTACTTAGCATTTGGTAGGCTGCTCAATAGGGAAGAGATGAATTTTGAACTTATCTCTTTCACAAACCAAGTACAAGGATGAATGGTTTCAGTGGGAAAGTTGACAAGGAAGAACAAATGGGTGACCCTTAGGACCTATGCTCAGAGGACGGCTGGCGTTGGCAGGAAGCTCTTAGAAAGGTTGTGAGATAAAACTTGAAAATGAGAGGATTTTCTAAGCATTACTTTAATTTTTAAGGTGGTTTGACACCGACACTGCCTGGGTACAGAGTGGTCAGGGGCACTGGTGAGAGGGCTCAGTGGGTTCACTTGCCAGCAGCCCTCACGACCCAGGTCCCTTTCCCACTACTCACATGGTGGACGAGGAGAACTAACTCCACAGCTCTCCTCTGTCTTCAATGTGCGTCAGGCTCACACATGGGGAGACTAGGGCCTGTATTCTTGGAATATCTGGCAGCATGTGTGGGGACTTGGAGGCGAGACTCCCAGCAGACTTGTCCTATGAAAAATCGTTAATGCACTCGGGTTTCAAGTCAGTGACCAATGCTTAAAGAAAAGGAACGAGCTGGTCAGGTCCTTCCGGTGAGAGATGATGAACACTTGAAATAAGAAAAATGTTCCTTAACTCAGTCTTTGTTTTTGTCTTCCACTCAGTGTTTTTAAGCACAAAATACTTTTTCTTAAGGATCTGTACTTTCTTTCAAAATAATAAAGTTGTCTTCACTAGTTGTCCAACGGTTTAGCTTCCTTTCTTTCTTAGATAGTCTCCTGGAAGGAACACAGGACATTGATAATTTGTGAGTGTGAACTGACATTACAATGTAATTCATTCATTTTTCAATAAGCAATGTTGGCTGACTACCACGTGCTGGTACCATGCCATGTACTGGAGTTACAAGGATGACAGACAGGATGGATAAAACACAGGCCTTGTTCTTGTGGAGGTCTGTGCCTAGCAGGGGAGTCAGATGTATGCAATCCTCGGTTCTACTCCATAGTGACAGGGCATTTGAGCTGCTCTGGAGAGAATGATGGCACACACAACTGTCAAGGGAAGATGGGGGGGGGGGCTCAGGGAACAGTAGAGCCTGCTGCCTGCTCCTTCATTAAAATAAAACAAAATCTGTTAATAAGAAACATTTGAGGACTGTTTTTCACTCAGCAAAAATTATACTTGTTTTCTTAACCTGTGGAAGGTTGCTTGAGCCCCCAAAGGGGTCTTGACCCACAGGTTGAGAACCATGGCTCTACTGCAACCATGACAGATAGAGATAGGGGGAGACCAGGATTGTACTGGCAATTGACTTTTAGTCAGATATGGTGGCATGCTCTTGCAATCCCACTACTTGGGTGTTAGAAGCAGCAAGTTCATGGCCAGTTTAATATGCGTGTTGAGTTCTAGGCCAGTCAGTACTACATAGCAAGACATTGTCTCAAAACAAAACAAAACAAACAAACAACACCAAAAAAACCGAAAACAAATAAAAAAAGTAAGGCCTTTAAAAACTTAACTTATTGTAAGAATTACTGCCAGGCAAAATCAGAAAAATGAATTATTTTATATTCTTCTGTTTTATAGGACTGGTCTTAGATGATATTCTAATGAGAATAAACAAAATACCCAAACCATGAACCATCGCTTCTTTCCATGTAGATGACAAAACACAGAGCCTAGATTCTTACATATGTGTGGGTTTAGTTAAGAGAGAAGCAAGTCTCATGTGAAGAGGCTAGGACATTTGTTGTCCACTTAGGGGTTAAGTCACAGGAAGTTTAAGGAATAATTATAGTTCTTTAATAATTTTATACTAACTTTTTAAAACTGATAACTTAGAACTAGTGGCTAACATTTTACTGACACACACAATTTGCCAATATAGTTGTTTAAAAATAAACCTGACTGTGTGGAGCAATACAGGGTTGTCTGCCTATTGGCTCCTTAAAGTTGCTATTACATCATGCTGTTGGAATCTTCCATATTTAAAAAACAATTGAAACAGGGTTTCACCATATTACTTTGGCTGGCTTGAAACTAGCTGTACAGATTAGTCTAGCCGTGAACTCACAGAGATCTGCCCACTCCTCCTATGTGCTGCGGATTAAATACAGGTGAATGGTCTACATCCAGAGGTTAAAAAAAAAATTAATCACCTTGATTCTTTATTTCTCAAATCTTCTGCAATAATCACATTTTTTTAATAGAGAAAAGCACAATTGGAGGCATACTAGCACATGCCTGTAATCCCAGAATTTAGTGGGATAAAGCAGGAAGATTGCAAATTTGATCCCAGTCTGGGGTACACAGTGAAACCCTATATCAGAGAGAGAGAAGGCTGGAGGAGGGGAGGGAGAGAGAGCCATAGTAATGAAGGAAGTACAGTTAAGTCAGCTGATGGTAACAGCCTGACCCACCCCTTAGGCTATCCAAACACTTCTAACATCGCTGGTCCCTTCTTACAACAGTGGGTTCGAACTGGCGCTGTGCCAGCTGCATTATTTTTTGGAGTCTTTTGTGGCCTTGGGTGAGTGAGTGAGTGAGTGAATGAATGAATGAATGAATAAATAAATAAATAAATGGTCAGTGAATCTTCATTACAATGAAGCCAGGGAACTTTCTGATCTTCCCTATGGAATTAGCTTGGTTCTGAGCCAATAGAATAAAGTCTGGTTTATTGAAAACCTAGCGGCCTGCCTTTCTACTTTCATTATAGATATTTTAATGAGATATATTAGCTCAAATTATAGGTCTCTGTTGGTTTCTGCTCCTACTCTGTTGAAACTGGGCCTCCTTTTCTAGGACTTAACTTCTCACCCATTCATTTGAGATTAGTTCACTGGCACTGCCCTGGGTTTGTTAGGTAGAAGTCATTCGCATCTCCATTTATCAAACATACAGTAATTTCCTACTCAAAATCATGCACTGTGCTAGATCTCAGATGGGGGGAGGGATTAAGCTGGCATTGCTGCAATGGGTTTGTAGTCCACATCAACAAAGAGCTCCAATGGGAATAACAGCAGTGGTGTGCATAAAATACACAGCACAGTGGAAGAGGCATCCAGATCTGCCAGGACCCTCAGTGACGATGAGGAGTGTACCAACCAGATGTGAGGGGGCGTGGGCAGGACAGGAATGCATTTCTGGCAGGGAGAACGGCATCTACAGAGTCACGAGAGGCCATTTACCATTTGCTATGCTCAAACCTCACTTTAGTTGTCTATTAAATCTTAATTTTTATTTTCCCCAATTGTAAACCAAAGAAGGAGACTGTACTACACACCAAGATGGCTCCACCTCTCCAGGGTGGGCCCCTAACAGTCTTTCCTTTTTAACCTGCTTCCTCTCCGCTCCCCTGCGCATCTCTCTTGCACAGCTTACTGACATGGGGGTGGGGGTAGGGGTACACCATGACACAAATCAGGGTGCTACCAAGCCAGGGAAGGAAGCAGTTGCCTTGCAATGGGACAGGGCAAAGCTGACTCACGAAGAAGCAGAGACAAGACAGACTGCCAGCAGTCCAGCAGTGTTCCCATCCAGGGTACTTGCCTTTCCCACGGCTCCCCGGTGTTCAACACTTTCTGTGTGTGTGCGTCATCCCCGGATTCTCCAATAAATCCCTCCTTTCTCCCCTGGCTAGTCTGAGTAGGGTCTCAAGCCTCAGTGGGAGGCAAACTTACCCAGCTTCTCTGTGGCCTCCACACAGACGCTAGGATACATGCCTGCAGTGTAAGTGGCCACCAGAAGATACAGATGGGTCTTCACAACAACCACACCAGTGTTCTCCTGGGTGAGGAAGGACATAGAACGCTCTGGCTTTGTTCTGAGCCACAAGGCCAGGACTTACCCCAAGACACATTCAAAACAAAACAAAAAACCTTTTTCCTGACTTCTTTGTATTTTTGTACTTGTATTTTAATCTTCCATTATTTTGAGAAATTTAGTAGTATTTTCTGAAAAGTTTCAGTTTTTTTGTACTAATATTGGACGTATTGTGAAGAAGAATTCCTAGAAAGTATACTGACTGTGGGGAGGTTGGAACGTTGCAAGTCCAGAGCCTTTAACTATGTATTCTGGGCTGTAGCCCAGTAATCACCTTTCCTTGCCTACCTCTGTGTCTAATTTAACATTCTTGTGCCTAACAGGTATATGAACTTTGGGATATATGTAAACACCCCACCTGACCCTAGCTTTACTGTATGTGTCTGTGTCTCTGCCCTTTCTTCCTTCCCTCGCTGTCCCCACACTGGGTTTCAGGACCCAAGACAAGCAAGTCATAGCACTGGAGGATGAATGGTATCAGGAGAGGTAGCTCAGCTGACAGAGTCCAGAGGGAATATTTTAACAGCCGGGATATCTGGCTAAGAATACTTTTGGGCAGAAGTGCTTTTTTTCTTCTTTAATTCACTTCAGTGCTGGAGACCAAGCCCGGAGCTCTGCACGCTCCAGGCAAGGTCTCTGCTCTTCATGTCCATTCCCAGCCTCTGTGAGTATCTGCACACTTCACAGCTTCACACACACACACACACACACTTCCTGGCACTAGAGTGCTATTTCAACAACTCAAGGCTACTAGTAATGTTTTGCAGAGAGCATCAGGAGGGATAAAGAAAACCGAAGTAAAATTCTTAAGATTTTTACCCATCTGCCTTCGAATCTTGAAAACTTACATTCTTAGCATAAAGAGAATAGTCGTCCGCCCGGACACATTTGTAATCCTTTTCCTTGAAGTACAAGCCTTCCCTTCGGGTTATCAGTGGGTTTTTGGCAAATCCATTCACAAGTGTTCGAACATCACTTGGCATTACCTGCAGAGGTTAAACAGGACAGGTAAGAAGCATGGCCACTGGCCAGGTAAATTTGGTTGACTACCTTTTAAAATGACCTGAAGGCTGGGAATGGTTTTCACTTTTTAAAAATGACTGGACAAAAGAAAAGCACTCGTGAGCTGTCACCATTACATGAACCCCAAGTTCCACTGTTCATAAACTTGCATTAGAGGATAGCCATACCTATTGCTTTCTATGGCTGCTCTTCCAACTACAGAATTACTGATTGTGACCGTCTATGTGGTCTAAACATAGCCTAAAGCATTTCCAATGGCTTTGTACTAGAAAAGGCTTTTTTGGCTTTCCAGCGGTGATGACTCTCGCAAAGGATCTCCTTCATCCCTCTCCAGAGGAGGAAAAGAGGAAACACAAGAAAGAGTGCAGAGCCCGGTTCCTACTTTGCGGATGTGAAGTGCCCAGGATGCTATAAAATCACAACGGCCTTTAGCCATGCACAGATGGTAGTCCTGTGTGTCGGCTGCTCCACTGTCCTCTGTCAGCCTACAGGCGGGAAAGCAAGGCTGACAGAAGGATGCTCCTTCAGGAGGAAGCAGCACTGAAAAGCACCGGATTCGAGATGAGTGGAACCATTCCAGTAAACACATTTTGGGGAAAAGAAAAGAAGAGAAAAGAGAAGAAAAGAAGAGGCTCTTTTGTTTAAAAGTCATACCTACAGGAAAGGATTTTCTGAAAAGGACTCCAATAGCACAGGCAATAACCTCAGGAATTTGCCAATGGGATCACAAGAAAATAAAGAGCAGCAAAGGAAAAATTCCTAGAACAAAGTGACGGAACATAAATGTGAAAGAACCACCAACTACACAGTGGACAGAGATTTATGAACCAAAGGTAAATAAAGAACTGCAAAACTCGGGCTGGAGAGATGGCTCAGTGGTTAAGAGCACTGCCTGCTCTTCCAGATCCTGAGTTCAATTCCCAGCAACCATATGGGGATTCACAACCATCTGTAAAGAGATCTGGCGCCCTCTTCAGACAGAACACTATACACATAATAAATAAATCTTTAAAAAAAAAAAGAACTGCAAAACTAAAATTCCCAAATCACCCAATCAATCAATCAATCACAAAAGGTCAAATACTTGAAAAAATAATACTCATCCATCAGATAAATGCAAATTAAAACTGCTTTGAGGGTTTGGAAAGATGGCTCAGTACTTAAGAGCACCTGCTACTCTTCCAAAGAACAGGAGTTCAGTTCCTAAACGTGCATGTCAAGTGGCTCACAACTGCCTACAACTCCAGCTCCAGAGGATCTGAGGCCCTCTTCTAGGCTCAAGAGCACGGCACTCAGATGCACATCTAAACAGATATACACACATATACATATACATATACAACAATAGTTCTAGAGAGATGGCTCACTAGTTAAGAGCAATTGTTGCTCATGCGAAGGACGGATCTAGATTTGATTCCCAGCACCAACATGGCGGCTTACAGTTCTAGGAGATATGAGTCTTCTGAATCCTGAAGGCACTATGTATACATTTTGAGAGTATGCCATATGCCAGTCATAATAAGTATCAAGAAAACAGAACCAAATGAGGGCAGGGATGTAGCTCAATTAGTAGAGCGCTTGCTGAGAATGTCAAAGCTCTGGGTTTAGTGCCTAGCATTATAGACCAGGCATGGCGCTCCATGAGTATAGTCCTAGCACTTGGGAAGTAGAGGCAGGAGGTTCAAGGTCATCTTTGGTTACCTAGCAGGTTGCAGGCTAGCCTGGGCTGTATGGAACCTTCTTAAAAACAGAAAAGAAAGAAAAGAAAACAAATGACAAGAGATGCTGGCAAGGATGTGGGGAAAGACGAGAGCAGCTCTTAATTCATTGCTGGTGTGAATGCAGACTTGGGCATCTACTATGGAAATCAGCATGGAAAGTTCCTTCCCAAAAAACTGCCCCTAGAATTACCACAATACCTAGCCCCACCACTCTGGGGGATGAATAAGTGAAGGACTTTGACTCAACATGTCAGGATGAGATAGGCACATGTACATGTTCACTGGAGCAGTAGTCACGATAGCCAGGACACAGAACTTATCTAGATGCTGCCCAATATAAGAGTAAACAAAAAAAAAGTGGTATATATACACAATGTAATTTTATGCAGCCATAAAGAAATTGACATTGCTGGACATGGTGACACACACCTTTAATCCTAGCACTTAGGAGGCAGAGGCAAGCAGATCTCTGTAGTTTGAGGCCAGCCTGGCCTACACAATGAATGAGACTCTATTTCAGAGGGGAAAAAAAGAAAAATGAAATAATGACATTTGCAGGAAAATAGCTGCAGTTGGAGTCATTGTGTTAAGGGTTAATAAACCAGACCCAGAGAGACAATTAGCACATTTTCTTTTACATATAGAATGTGGATTTAAAATGATGTGGCTGAGGCTGGAGAAAGAGCTCAGCAGGTACGAGCACTTGCAGAGGACCCAGGTTATTCCCCACTGCCCACTCACACTATGGCTACCAACCATCTAGAACTCTAGTTAAGGGATAGGAAGCCCTCTTTTGGCCTCTGTAGGCATTGCATACATACGGTACATAAACATACACATAAAAATAAAAACAAATCTTTACAATTATGTGTAGGAATATGTTTACTGATGTGTGCGTCTGTAGGTGAAAAAATTAGGGGCTCATAGAGGGAAGATAGACCTCTTAAAGAAGGTGGGAAATAGGACACGAGAAAAAACCAGAAGGAATCAAGCTGAAGCGGAAGAAGGTACACAGAAGGGCACTGCAGGCAGGAATGAAAGAAAGCAAGGTATAATGACCATGTGGGATCAGACTGGGCCTTGCTCTGTTACTCCATGCTTTGTAAAACAGCAGTTTTTCAGTGCTTCTTGTTCAAAGAGACTCCATTTGAAGATGGAGGATGACTCCACACCTGGATGGACACAGGAATAGCACATCCGTCCAATACCACCTACGCAACACAGACTGAAAAGCGACTTATTCCTGGGGGAGAAAGATTGCACCTCTATAAATTTATGAGGGTAAACTGAGAAAGTGGAGGTATATGGACATATTAAAACCATATCAGAAAGACCAAGCCCAAGAAATATCATATACAACAGACCAAGGCAAGAGTGTAACTCCCTTCCGCGGACTCCACAGAGAAGCAAACAACTTGCACGGAGGTGGCATTGGTGCCGACTGACCTGGACCTGCCCTGTCTGTCCATCTGTCTGACGATCTGTCTGGACCCAGCCCTGCCCTTCTGCCCCTGGAGCTGTCTCAGTTCTGCAGCTTTACTTTCAAACTTGTGATCTGAAGGAGCCAGACCACTCACCAAAGTTTCTCCATATTCTTTCTCGGGGCTCTGGTTCTGTTAATTTATCGATATCTATTGTCAAATATCTATGACATTTCTACTAACTTCCCTTCTTTTCAGGATTTATGAGAACCCTTGAACTCTGCTGTGATCTCTTAACAATTTATTGCCATTTGGAACCATACATACATACATATATATGGTTGCATGTATATGTACACACACATATTATTGTGTGATCCAAGAGTTGATATTAATAATTCAGATGGGAACAAAACAGCCTGTGTTCATCTCGGTCATGGTTACCAAGGAAAGCAGGCATATCAAGTGGATGCCACGGAAATGACTGTACCTTTATCATTCCTCAATAAATTCTGGTATTGTTGAAACATGTTCATATTCTTTACATTGTCCACTCACAGCACATATATGAAGATGACATGATAAAAAACAATACTTTGGATGCTAACCTAGAAAGTTATTTTTTTATAAAGTTTTTTCCTCTTACACTAAATCCTGGTGATGCCACACACAGGCTCCTTTCTTGGAGTTTGATGAGGGCGGCACTGTCCACGTGCTTTGTCCCCAGCAAGGTGTCTAACAGTAAGTTTTGTAAGTGACTCATGCTTCCTCAGCTCTGAACCAGGAACTGCAGTTGAAGCCTCCAAGTATGAGCATGTAAGTGCCTCAGATGCTTCAATTTTAGTATCAGTGGGTGACCTTTAAAACGTTGGAAGAGTGACATTGGTGGTCTGCCATCCAGTGTTCACCAATACTCAGAATTAAACAACAAAACACCATAGAAAACCAGAGTTCATAGAATGGCTTATTAAGCGGAATTTGAAGAAAAAAATCAGAGCCTCAACATTTTTAGCTATGAAATAATTTACATGAGAGTTACCTGGGGTTTAAAGACACAAATCCATGCCTATCATCACAGGTACCCTAGCGGCAGGAAGGCTACAAGTGCAAGGCCAGAGAGACCGTGTCTCTCCGTGGTAGAGAGGGAAATGTAAAGTCCTCGGTTCAGTCCTCAGACCCGCAGAAATGAACAAGTAAATAAATAAAAATCAAATAAAGTAAAAACAAAAAGAAGCAACCAGCTACCCAAAGAACGTCATAGCCACGGACTAAGGAGAACAACCGAGTTAAATAAGATCCTCCTTTCATTCCTTCTTGATCAGCATCAACGCTGAAGACAGACACTGGTCAATAGACCCCGAGCTCTACCACCACCTTGGATGTCCTTTAGGGCTACATTTCCTGCTCATGGACCGCCATCAGAGTCAACCGCCACAAACGCTCGTTCACCAAGGACCTAGCATGGCGATGGCCCCTCTCTTGCCGCTCCCTTCGGAGAGGCGACTGAGGGCGAGCGAGCAGCCTAACCGGATCCGAAGTCCTGGGGAATGGGAGCTAAACACAGGATACCAGCGCTACTGGGGAGTCAAAGCTCCGCCAGGGGCGGGCATGGGCGGAGCCTAGGGGCGTGGGCGGAACCTAAGGGCACGGGCGAAAGCGGATTGGTTGTGGAAGCTGCCTGTTAGTGCGAGGCCGGCCCCCCGCTCAGGTTTGCGGGCCGCCGTCCTCGGTGCTGCTCGACGAGGTGAGCGCGCGCGCTCTTGTCGCTTCTCGTGGCCGTGGGGCGCGTGGGGCTGCGTCCAGGAGACCGAGGCCCTAACGTTCGCACGTTCTGAAGCCACGGTCTCGGGCTGGGGCCGCGGGCGCACTGTGCTGCCGGAGAGCCGAAAGCTCTGCCTGCCGCCAAAGGGGGCCTCGCGCACACGGTCTGCGTCAGCGGGCGGAGCGGGGACCGGGCCTCGCGGGCTCTACTCCCTGGTGAGCGAGCCTGGTGCCTGGATCCACCGTGGGGACCGCCTCAGAAGTCCCCGTTTCCCTCACATGCAGACCCTGGGGAGGGCTTGGAGCCTCTTGGAGCTTGAAGACCCGAGTTTCGTCCAAAATTCCCTTTCTTCTCCAAGAGCTCATTTGTGCCCCAGTAGTTTATCAGATTTAGGGAACTGCTGGCGATGGGATTCCTAGAGGCTGGTCGGATGACCCGTAGCCATGAGGTCTCCAAAAGTCCCCTGTTTCATGGCAACCGGAAGGGAAACAAGGATAATCCGTTTTCGAAGATTCATTCCACGGGTGCCCAAGGTCATGAGTGTTGATTATTAAACAGAAAAGAAAACTATTGTGAATTTTAATTACAAAGTAAACGCTGTTTTAGCTTTTCTAGGGACCCTGTTACTTGGTGACCACAATGAAAAATGGGAACCAAGATGATCTGGTAACGGGCACACTTCCTAAGCGCAAGAGCTCCAAAGAATGGTTGGAACCACAGTCGCTTTCTTTTATGGAGGTATAGTGTATGACTTTTGAGGTCTTTGCTTAGAGAGGGGTCTTGTACTAACTTGAGCCTTTTTCTTTCCTGTTCTATTCCTTTGCTCCTCAGTGGAGAGCTGCTTAAAGTAGAATCACAAGCCACTGATTTATAAATCTTTTCTAATATAGATAGCAAAGCTGTTAAACAGCCACTGAAACTTGGATATATTTTTCCAAATAGTTTTATTAAGGTATAATTGGCATACAGTAAATACATACACTTAAAGTGCATAATTTGCTAAGTTTTGGCATGTATCTGCTCCCAAAACCATTGTTACACATCAAGATAACAAATATATTCAATATTCCCAGTTTCCTCGTGTCCTTTGCAGTGCCCCCCCCCCCCAACATTTCCCACATTTCCTGTAACCACGCTGACTTAAAAAGTTTTATGCAGGGAAAATTTACATGTTTTTTTTTTTTTTTTTTTTTTTTTTTTTTTTTTTTTTTTTTTTTGAGACAGATGTCCTGGAACTCATTCTGTAAAACAGGCTGGTCTCCAACTAAAAGATCCACCTGCTTCTTGCTCCTGAGTGTTAAGGTTAAAGGCCTGCGCCGCCTTGCCTGGCTCTTACGTCATCCTTTTATCTGGCTGCTTTCACTTAACACTGTTTTCCGGTTCTTCCATGCTGTTGTACGCATCACTAACTATTCCAGTGCTCCTCTTAGCAACTGCCTGTCTCCTCGATGACTATGTTCCAATTGGTCCGTCTTATTGATGGGCATTTGGGTTGTTTCCAATCTGGAGCAATTAAAAGCTTTTCTAACTGGGCAATGGTGGCACACGCCTTTAATCCTAGCACTGAGGAGGCAGAGGCTGGCAGATCTTGTGAGTTCAAGGCCAGCCTGGTCTACAGAGTTCCAGGACAGTCAGGGCTACACAGAGAAACCCTGTCTTGAAAAGCCAAAAATAAATAAATAAATAAATAATAAAGCTCTTCTAAGCATTCACATTCATGACATGGTATGGACATTTTTCATTTTCCTTGGGTAACGTTTAGTTGTGAGGTAAATTAACGTTTTGCAAAGCTGTCAAACTATTTCCCAAAGTTGTTATTTTACATTCCCATTAGCAGCATATGATAGTTACAGTTTTTTTCATGTTCTACCCAACATTGATATAGTCTTAAGTTTTATTGTATAGTTAAAAGACCTAATTAGTCATTAAGACATCTTTGCTTGCTATTTATCTTTTTTGGTGAAGTTTGTTCAAATATTTTGTTCTTTCTAGAATTAGGTTATTATTGAAATTTTAATATTGAGATATAATTTATAGATCATAACAGTCACTTCTTTAAAATGTACAATTAAGTATCTTTTCAGTTTTTTTCACAAGGCTTTGTGTCTTCTACTACTCTCTTAGTTCTAAAATATTTTCATCATTCCTAAGAAGAAGCTATTTCCTTCTGCAATTGCACCTCATTCTCTTTGCCTTCTAGTTGTTGGTAACAGTAATCTACTTTCTATTTCTGTGGATTTGCCTATCCTAGGCATTTATACAAATGAGTCGTACATAACATGTGGTCCTTTGTGACTAGCTTCTTTCCCTTGGAATAATGTTTTCAAAGTTCAACCATGCACTCATGCTTTTTAAACAGTTTTTTATATGTATGTGTACAGGGGGTGTTGGGTTCCTTGGAGCTAGAATTATGATGGTTGTAAGCTACCTAATGTGGGGCTGAGAACTGACCTGACCTCACTCTGGTCCTCTGGAAGAGGAACAAGCACTCTTCACCAAACTTTCTCTTTAGTTCCTACGCCCTTTTTTCTTTCTTTCTTTCTTTCTTTCTTTCTTTCTTTCTTTCTTTCTTTCTTTCTTTCTTTCTTTCCTTCCTTCCTTCCTTCTTTCTTTCTTTTTCTTTCTTTCTTTCTTTTTGGTTTTTCAAGACAGGGTTTCTCTGTAGCTTTGGAGCCTGTCCTGGCACTAGCTCTTGTAGACCAGGCTGGCCTCGAACTCACAAAAATAAATCTGCCTCCCGAGTGCTGGGATTAAAGGCGTGCATCCCCACTGCCCAGCCTCCTACGTTTTCCTTTTCATGACCAAATACTATCTCAGTGCTTGGATGCCACATTTTATTTCATCAGGTGCTGAACTTTTGAATTGTTTCTAGTGTTTTGTTGTTATGAACATTGTTCTCATGAACTTTTGTATACGACTTTTAGTTTGAACATGTTTTCAGTTCTCTTGTAACATAGGATTGGATTTGCTGAGTCAAATAACTCTGTCCCTAACGTTTTGGGAAACCAGCAGAGATTCCCAGGACAGCTGTTCCATTTTATAGTCTCAGCGGTGTGTGAAGGCTCCACTTTCTCCACTATTTGGAGTTTATTGAACTTCGTGTATTTGGGGGCTTACAGTTTGTGAAAATGCCCTTCCTCTTTCAGGTACTATTTCCTTCCTTCGCTCCTCACACCCCACTTCTGTCTCTCTGACAAGTCTCTGTGTTGTCCATGCTCTTCTCAAACTCCAGTGCTCCTGCCTCAACCTTCTGTGGCCTGGGTTTCCAGACATTTGTCACTAAGCCTAGGTCTGAAGTGAATTATTTCTAATGCTATACCGTCTTGTTTAGGTCATAATTCTTGTTTATGTCATCTTCAATCTTCTGTTAAACTCACTGAAATTTGTGTCTTTTTAAAACGTAAGAGCTGAAAAGAAAATAAAACTTAAGAACTGGATTTTTCCACTTTTCTTGCTTCTGTTTGTTTGCTAAGTTTGTCCTTTCATTTTTAGCATATTTTTACCCATTCCAAAATCTCTTTTTTTTTTTTCTTTTCGATAGGACCTTACTGTATAGTGTAGCCTGACTTTCAACCTCACAAGAAACTGGAATAACTGGAATTAGGGCATGTGTACCATGCCCTCACCCACAAAGGCTTTATATTTCAGTTTCAACAAATGAACCGTCCTAGTATTGCTGATGTTTTTCTTAAGTGTGGGTCACATTTTCCTTTTCCTCTGTGTCTATTTTAGGCAGTATGAATGATGCATTTTAGAGGACCTTGATTCTTTTATGTCATTATGAGGAATATTAAACTTCCCAGACGCTTAACTTTGCTGAGTTCAGGCTCCAAATTTTGTCTTCCAGTTGGCAGCAGGTGGAGCCACTCTGCTTTTCTTAAGCTTTGGTTTTACTGCATAGAGTCCGGTCCACAGAGAGGGCAAGCGCTTATTTGGCCAGTCCTTTCGTGGACTCTGCGGCACTCTTTCTGTGACCCTCTTAGAGATGTCTCCTTTCATCTCTCATCTCATCATGGTTGGGCCTGAGGATGTGGTTCAGTGATAGAGCACTTGCCTAGCTTGCACAAGCTTAATCTTCAGCACTGCTAAGGAAAATGTCTTCCATAGTTACCAATCAGTAAGACTGCATGCATGGGAGTTTTCGCTACCTCCATTAGCTCTGGCTGAAACGAGTCGCACGAAGGGATGGGGCTGTGCGGGCACTTTGGACCACTCTCCAGGGCCTTCAGATTGCTGATTTTGTGTTGTTTTGTTTTGTTTGTCTGTGCAAAAGGAGGAAAGAAAATGAATTCTGAAACCAAGGATATTGGTTCACATCTGTAATCCTTACACTTGGAAAGTTGAGGCAGGAGGATCACAAGTCTAAGACTCCTGAGCAAGTTTTAGGCTAGGCTGGAATACATAGTCAGACTCCATTACACACAAGATAGTAGATACATATTTGAGTTTGTATTGTGGTTCAGTTGTGTTTGGTGGCACACAACTTTAAACCCAGTACTCAGGAGTCAGAGAGGCAGGCAGATCTCTGAATTTGAGGATAATCTGGTCTACATAGTGAGTTTTAGAACAGCCAGGGCTATAAAGTGATTGATTCCCTGTCTCAAAATGAACAACAAAAAGCCCACCAAGGCCACACAAAAATACATAAATTTATTAGATGATTACAAGGTCTTCATTAATAATAAATGTATTTATTTTAATTATATGTATGTCTGTATTGCCTTTGAGAAAAAAAAGTTTCAGTCTATCAAGCTGGTAGATTGTTATGGAAAATTAGTTAAAGAAACATATACAGGCCTGTAATCCCAGCACTTGGGAGACCAAGACAAGGAATGGATTGGCAGTAGTTTGAGGTCAGCCAGGGCTATATAATGAGTCCAGGCCAGTGTGGGCTACATTCTAAGATCCTGTCTTAGAACAATGTAAGAAGACTTTAAGAGAAAATGTCTCTATTTCAATCCACCATTCTTATATTTTATAAAGATCCAGCCATATATTTGATTATACTTTTATATTTCATGTTTATTTGTAAGTTTTTGGATAAAAAATGTAACCCATGATTCATATTATCCACAGTCTTTACATTTTAGTATTTGTTTATTTGTTCATTGATGGATTGGTTTCTTCAAGACAGAGTTTCTCTGTGTAGCCCCGGTTGTCCTGGAACTCAGAGGTCTGCCTGCCTCCTGAGTGCTGTGATTAAAGATGGGTGCCACCATGCCAGGCTTTACATTTTCGTTTTTAAAAAGCAATTTTCAAAGTCAAATCAATAGGTAAATTCATTATAAAAGAGTAAGAATAGGAACAGGAAGTGTAATGAAGCCATTTCTTTGACCATGTGTTGTTTTATTTTAGTTACTTTTTTCTAGGATTAGGTTTGCCTAAGGTGTGCTAAACTCATAGTCTTCCATTAGACATACAGAGAGATTAGTCTGTCAAGTAGAGCCTGTGCATGTCTGTCTTTACCCAGAAAGGTAAAAACATTTGCCAGATGTGGGGAAGTCATTTGATGGTTCTGGGACTCAAAATGCCTGTGAGATCAATTATTTTTTTTGCCCTAGAATGAGCTGTAACCAAGAGCAGAAAGATCAAAAGAGTCTTTGAGAAAGCGCTTAGTGATATAGAAACATTGGATTTACAGAGACTGTTTCAGGGATATGCCTTTCATATAAAAATATAATAAGAGAATGTTTCAGGGATATGCCTTTCATATAAAAATATAATAAGCTCAGATAATGCTAATGATTGTTCAAGATTTGATTTTTGGACTAATTCTGTTCTTTTAGGCTTTAGCTAAAGAAGACACTGATGCAGCTGTTCAATCAATTTTATACAGAGAAAATTATGTAATGAAGGTAAGAATTAGCTGCAAAATGCATCTTAGATAATTCTTTTTCATTTCCATGTAGTTTCTACTTAACAACTTTGAGTAAAACTTGAGGTTTTAAATAATTAGAAAATAGAATTAAAAACACTCATTAGCAATTGAGATTAAGTGGAACACATCTCTGAGAGTGTTTTTTTTGTTTTGTTTATCTATTTATTTATTTATTTATTAAAGATTTCTGTCTCTTCCCCACCGCCGCCTCCCATTTCCCTCCCCCTCCCCCAACCAAGTCCCCCTCCCTCATCAGCCCAAAGAGCCATCAGGGTTCCCTGCCCTGTGGGAAGTCCCAGGACCACCCACCTCCATCCAGGTCTAGTAAGGTGAGCATCCAAACTGCCTAGGCTCCCACAAAGCCAGTACGTGCAGTAGGATCAAAAACCCAGTGCCATTGTTCTTGAGTTCTCAGTAGTCCTCATTGTCCACTATGTTCAGCAAGACCGGTTTTATCCCAGGCTTTTTCAGACCCAGGTCAGAGCTGCAAAGGAAAAGGGGCAAGTAACTTATAAAGGTAAACCGATCAGACTTACACCTGACTTCTCTATGGAAACCAAGAAAGACAGAAGGTCCTGGATAGAGGTACTGCAAAAACTAAGAGACCATGGATGCAAACCCAAACTACTATACCCAGCCAAGCTATTGTTCACTATCAATGGAGAAAACAAGACATTCCAAGATAAGAACAAATTTAAACAATACGTAGCCACAAATCCAGCCCTACAGAAAATAATAGAAGGAAAATCACAACCTAAGGAAACCAGCATTGCCAACACTGCCTACAATAACTCAAGCGTCTAGCAAACCTTCACCAGCACAACTCAAAGAAGGGAGACACACAAACGCTACTACCAAAAACAATAAGAATAACCGGAGTAAACAACCACTGGTCATTAATATCACTTATATTAATGACCTCAATTCACCCATAAAAAGGCACAGGCTAAGAGATTGGATACGAAAACAGGATCCAACATTCTGCTGTTTGCAAGAAACACAACCACAAAGACAGGCATCTGAGAGTGTTTTAATGACTGCCAATCTCCTGTGCTTTGGGGGACTTTCTTTAGTGTTGTACAGGTGAGTATACCTGCCCACACACATACATGTCATAAAATAATTTTGCTAAAATGACTTCACTTATAATGTATGCAAAGTTGCTGTATTTTCTCTCCTCCCACTGTGTGGTATATTTGATCTATTTTAATTTAAATAAAACTTTTTTTTGAGACCAGGTTTTTTTTTTTTTGTGTGTAGACCTAGCTATCCTGGAACTTGCTCTGCATATCTGGCTAGCCTCAAGCTCAGAAATCTGACTGGCTCTGCATCCCAAGTGTTAGGATTAAAGGCATGCACCACCTCTGCCCAGCTTAAATAAAATTTTTATTTATTATTATTGTATATGTGTGTATTATGATATATATGTGGACACACATGCCTGTGGCACACATGTGGAAGTCATAGGACAACTTTACAGAATTGGTTCTCTTCTTTATGGGTTCTGGGGTCACAGGTTGCCAGGCTTAAGGGACAAACTTCTTCACCTGCTAAGTCCTCTCACTGACCCAGCATATTTAATTATCAAGAGGGTGGGCATGTGCCTCCATTGTCCATGTATCCTTGTTTTTGGCAGTGTGTGCCAAATAATGAAAGCCTTATTTATTTATTTACTTACTTACTTACTTATTTATTTATTTAGCTATGAGTGCTATGTATACCTGTATACCAGAAGAGAGCATCAGGTCCCATTATAGATGGTAGTAAGCCACCGATGTGGTAGCTGAGAATTGAACTCTGGGCCTCTGGAAGAGTGGCCAGTGCTCTTAACCACTGAGCATCTCTCCAGCCCCCAATGGTGGATTATCCTAAAGAATAATTTAAGCTATGAAGTTTAAGTTTTATAAAATTTTAGGAGATAAAAGCTTCAGGATAATTTTTTTCTTTCTGTCACTGTTTACTAGGAATTAGACAAGTATTTAAATCATTATGACTTCTTAAATGAAAGAAGAAAAGAAATGTTGTATAAAAAATGGGTTGAGCGTGTGGAAGATCCTCTACAGAAGAAAATTATAGAAAAAGTTTCTTCACATAAGAAGATTAAAAAGAGGAGACGACAAGAATTAGAGAATTTTTTGAGATATGTTAATAAGAAGGTACTAAGAGGTCATTTTGTACTTTTATAGTGGTTTAAAAATTATGTTTATCTTTGCTCACTAGCTCATCCAGAGTCCTGCCTCTTCCTCTTCTATTTATGTACAACCAATACTCTGATATAAACAATATATTCTTTAAAAAATTAAATTGTATTTCTTTATTCCTCTCTCTCTCTCTCTCTCTCTCTCTCTCTCTCTCTCTCTCTCTCTCTCGTGTGTGTGTGTGTGTGTGTGTGTGTGTGTGTGTGTGTGTGTGTGTGNCTCTCTCTCTCTCTCTCTCTCTCTCTCTCTCTCTCTCTCTCGTGTGTGTGTGTGTGTGTGTGTGTGTGTGTGTGTGTGTGTGTGTGTGTGTGTGATGAGCTCTTGGCAGTCAGAGTTCTCTTCCTACTGTATTAGTTCAGGGGATTGCACTGGGGCCATCAGTCTGGTGGCAGGACTTTACCCACTGAACAATGATGTGCATGAAGAGATGGCATTGATGCATTGGTGCTATTCTTAAGCGTAAGACTGGAACTTTGTAGGGCTGGGACTGTAGCTCAGTGCCTCAGGTTTGTCCCTTATGACTGAGAACAGGGATACAAACTGTTAAACTTTTGACTTCCGTTATCCTCAAAGTTAATTGTGTACCTCTTTCTTATGTGTAGTTTTATTTCCTTCCTATAGGAAAATGTGTTTATAGAGCATTATGATCCAAAAGAATATGACCCTTTTTATATGAACAAAAAGGACCCCAATTTTCTGAAGGTAGGCAGCTTTTTTTTTAACCATGGTGGTATGTGTGTGGTTGTTGTAAGTGTACTTAACATAGGTGTTGCTTGCCCTTGAGTGAGTTCTTAAAGTTCAGTAGCATTGTTAGTAGTTTCCTACCTAGTATTTTAGAAAAGAAATAAATAACCCAAAGGCCAAAGATGAATTAATCTCGGAAAGTATGAAAATGTTGTATAATAATTGAGTGATAGGAAATGTTTAAATATTTTCAAAGACTTTAGATTTTGTTACAGAAGTAATACATTCTTTTGTTTTGTTTGTATTTTGAGACAGGGTCTCTTTATGTAGTGTTGGCTGTTCTGGAACTCACTATGTAGACCTGGCTGGCCTCACAGAGAACCGCCTGCCTCTGCTTCTCTAGTGCTGGGATTAAAGATCTGATGAGTTCTTATAATAAATGAGAAAACCAACTTTAAATTCAGAATATTAAAAAAAATAAAATAAAAAATTTCATGTAACTGGAAGTTTCTCCCCTGCCTGCTAGTTCCTGAGTAACCACTCAAAGGCTTAGAATTAATTATAAATGTTGGGCCAATGGCACAGGCTTATTTCTTGCTAGCTCTTATATTTAAATTAACCCATTTCTATTAATCTAAGTATTGTCTGTTGGCATTTGTTCATTGGATGGCTGCTGGTGTCACCCTGGTTCTGCCCTTCTTCACCTGTTTCTCTGCTTGAATTTCCCACCTGGGTCTCTCCTGCTTTGCCATAGGCCAAAGGAGCTTTATTTATTAACCAGTGAGAACAACACATATTCACAGTGTATAGGATCATAATTAATCTTGATAATAAAACCAGGGATCAGGTATTTGTCAGAACACAAACAAAATATCACAACATTTCCACTTCCCAAAACTAACTCATTAACATTTTTATTTACCTTTCTGGACTTCTTTATCTATTTAAAACTAGTTGGTATTAACCAAATGTTTGCTTTTCTTTCTATATATAAAGCATTCATTCTACCACTGAGCCTACTGTCTCCTAAAGAAACCCATCTCCCCTGCTGTTGTGTGAGGCAGTGTAGCACAAATAGGTTATTTGTCAGTTCACCCACCTATGAGCAGCAGGGCATACATGAGTCTCTAGTCATTTACCACACCTTGCAATGTTGTCATTTTCCTGCAGACTGAGTATTGCTCTTACAAACGATTTTTATGATGCTTATCTCTGTAGCTATTTGTGACCCGGAAGTTATTTTATCTGTTCCCACACATGTGCATGCAACCTACAGGCATTAAGTGCTTTAGATACCGATGACGGTAAAAAGAAACAGGAAAGAGTTCTGTAGCCGTGGAGGGACAGCGTGTGCACAAGCAGCCAGAACAAAGGGCAGTGTCGGAGCCAGGTGTGTCAGCAGACCAGCAGACGTCAGACTTTCCCACGGACAGGGGCAGCTGAAACGTGCAAGCGAAAGGGGAAGGGGAGCATTTTCTCAGTTAAGGTTCCCTCCTCCCAGGTGACCCTACTTGTGACAGGTTGACAAGACAGCCACCAGTGCAGATGGGGGCGAGTGAACGAGGCTCCTAGGGAGGCATTAGAGCAGAGCAGGGCGCGAGAGGCAGGCGGGCCCTCAAAGCTGTATGACCTCATAAGAAGAGTGTCAGAGAACCCATCTCTTTTGAATGTGTTACATATAATGGGTCTATGTTAATAGGTCCCGTGTCTTGACTCTTCTGGCATGAAAACATACGGTGCGTAGGGTGGACTGAATGCTGATACTCAGACCTGCAGCCCAGGCCTCAAAGAAGCGCTTCTCTTGTAGGTTATCATGCCGCCAGTTCGTGACCCTGTGAAGAAAGCTCAATGTGACAAGGATGATGAGAAGCGAACTCTTCTTCAGTGCGAGACTGGTACGTAACTCTTAGGCGACTCCTAGCCTGACAGCGAAGGCAGTTGTATTTAAGCATGCTGATTTAGGTTGCTAATTTTCTTGCAGGCAAAATCTATACAATGAAAGAGTTTAAAGAGATCGAGAAGGCCCAATTGCAGTCCAGGTTCCCGAGTATTTCTAATTCAAGGCAATGCATGACTCCAAATGAATGGCTTAAAGTGCCCATGAGATATATAGAGAGTGAATTTTGTAAAAAGAGCAGGTAATAATTGATGTCATAGAAGTTGTGGGCTTCCTGGACTTTGAAAATTCTTTCTTGAGATAGTGATGTTTCAGTAATGATTTTGAAAATGAAGTCTGCTGTAATTTATTGGTCCTCCATATGTGTTGTGTTTCTTGAGTTCTATCAGTATTCTCCAATTTTGGCTTTTGTTGGGTAGGCTATGAGGTATCTAAGCTTAGCTTTTCCTCTTAGAGTCCTCTGAAATTTTCATTTTTATCAGTATACATATTTCATTAATTTTGGGGGATAATCTAGACCATCATTACTTCAAATATTTCTCATGTACCATTTGTCTGCTTTTAATTTCTAAGGTTCTGTGTATGTGTGACCATGGATAGCATCCACAGTTGTGTAAGTCTTGGATAGTGGTTGACTTTGCTTACTGTGTTTGGGTTAGACGATTTCTATTGAGCTGGCTATAAGCTCACAGAGCCTCCTTGTTGCGTGCTGTCTGCTGGTGGACCCATCAGAGACACCAACTGTGATATCATGACGTTAGCTTTGCCGTGTGATTTTTCAGAGTTTTCATCTTTTCCAAAATTCTTCATCTTTTAGTGCACATTGTCCACTTTTTCAACCAGAATTTTTCAAAGACCATACTAATCATAATTATTTAAATTTCTGATCTGATAGATCCAACATTAGGATCATTTCTGAATTTAGTTCAGTCTGGTTCTGTTGATTGCCTTAAATCTTGACTAGGCATTATATTTTGCCTGTTTTTTTTTTTTTTGCTTGCCTTATAATTTTAAAAGATTTATTTATATTTATGTGTTTTGTCTGCGTGTCTATTTTTACATGACGTTTATAGCTGGTGACTGCAGAGGACAGAAGAGGGTATTAGATACCCTGAGACCAGAGTTAAATGGGAGCCACCACACTCGGCATTGAACCTGGCTCCTCTGGAAGAACAGTCACCTTTTTTGTTTGTTTGTTTGTTTGTTTTTGTTTTTGAGAGAGGTTCCCACCATGCCCTGGGATGTCTTTGAACTCCCCCTTGTACATCAGGTTAGCTTTGAACTCAGCTCTAGAGAGCTTCCTGCCTCTGTTTCCTAAGTGCTGGATTTAAAGGCATGCACCCCACAACTAACCCGAATTTTATGTTTTTATTTTTTTGATTGAGTATCAGACACTTGAGATGGAAAAATAGTACAGATGCATGGTTTTTTGTTTTGTTTTGAAGAAACTGACATGCCTCTTCTGCCTCCCATTAGTATTGGGGGAATTGGTTTATTAGAAGTTGATCTATGTTTGGGTATTATAGTTGTTGCCTTTAGCACTCTACAGACAGTAAAAAACAAGTATGCCGTGTGTGCAGCTCACAGAAGCCAGAGGAAATGATTGGATCCCTTGGAACTAGAGTCTCGGGCAATTGTGAACTGTCCGTGTGGGTGCTGTAAATTGAACCTGGGTCCTTTGGAAGGGCAGCCAGTGCTCTTAGCTAAGCCAGCCACCATCCAACTCTCCAGATCTCTAAAGAGTTTTTTTTTATTGTTACTGTTTTTAAGATGTTTTTATTTTGAATTTCTTTGTATCTGTGTGATTCTGTGTATGAGTGTGGGAACATGAGTGCAGGTGTCTGCAGAGTCCAGACGAGAGTGTTGGGTGTCATGGTGCTGGAGTTGCAGGTGTTTGTGAGCTGTCAGAGTGGTTGCTGGGGACCAAACTTAGGTCATTTGGAAAACAGGTTTTGCAGTTTAGCTGAGTCTCCAGGCCTGACTTTCTTTGTTTTTGCCTGTTTGTTTGTTTGTTTTTAAATAGGAATCCATGTTGTGTGAGGGCCTCAGGATGATGGCAGAGGGATAAAATAAAGAGATTGATATGATAAAAGAAAAGATTTATGCAGTTTCATAACTGGAGGTCAGAAAGAAAGAGAAAATTCGAAGTTGGAGCTCATTGCTGACTGCAGGATTTCACGCTTGCTGGGCAGGCTCTCTGACCCTGAGCCTGTCTCCAGCCTGCTGTTCTAAGAGCTGTCATCATTGTGTTTATCTCCTATGGCTGCCCTATTTGTGGCAGTCTTCTTGCCTCTGCCTCCCAAGGGTTGAGAATACCGGCCTGTTCTACTACATCTGACTTTATGACTTCTTTCTACATTAGAGTGTAAACTCCCAAGGATTAGTGGGAAGGGTTCAACTTTGCCTGCCTAATATTGGTTCTCAGCAAACAGCACGCCAGTCTCCATCATGGTTTCAGAAGCTCTTAAACAACTAGTATCATTGAGAAAGTATAGCAGTGTCAAGTGATGGTATTTTGGACCATATTTATAGCAGTCAGTATCTAATGATAATTAAAGCTTAAATGTAAATGAGCACTGTTTTGCAATGTCCTGACACATGCTTTCTTGTTAAAGGGTCAAAGTAAAGGTGAATTTTAATGCTGGTAGTTTTGATTTGAATCCACTGAGAAGGGTGCCTGATATTCTGGAATTCCAGGAGGAAGAAAAGGCGGTCAGTTACAAGTAAGCCTCTTGTTTTATAACTTTGCTCTCCTTTCATTTAAGATGCTTAGCTGTGTTGCCTTCCCTACCGGCCTTTCAGATTGCTTGCGTTAGTGCCAAGGCCTCACACAATGTCAGGGTAAGGAGACTTTTCTTTGTTTAAAGGAACAAATAGCACAGAAGCAGCAAGTACAAAAATGGGGCTGGGGGAGATGGCTAACAACTTGTACTAAAGTTATGAGAATTTTAGACTGAGACTAGTTTTGGCAGGTATAGTCAGAAAAATACCTGCACCAGAGTGAAAACGTACAGCAGGGAAGTAATTCATAGAACTATGTGTGCAACATGGGAAATAAGTTATTAGGTACTGATTAGTTAAAAATGAGAGGTTTCACACACAAAAGAGCTGGGTGGTAGTACACACCTGTATTCCAGTACTTGAGAGGCTGAAGCAGGAAGATCTTAATTTTGGATACAGCCTGGGCTACATAGGAAGATCCTCCTGAGAAAATGGTGTGGGGCTAGAGATTTCTCCACATAGTTATAGAAAAAGGTAACTTCTCATAATCTGATTAAAAATAATAGAATCCGTCATCATTGCTAGAGGGAGTTGAAAATAGTGCAGAAACTTTGGGAAACAGTGTGTCATTTTTCTAGGATGGTAAACATTACGTTACCATGTGGCATAGTTCTGTAGCCATGAGGCGAGCAGGCCTGCTTTTCGTCATGCCCGGCTCCCGCATGGCTAGCTTTACACCCGAAATAACAACACACAAACTGTATTCTTTTAAACACTGCCTGGCCCATTGTATCTAGCCTTTTCTTGGCTAATTCTCACATCTTGCTTTAACCCATATTTAGTAATCTGTGTAGCACCATGAGGTGGTGGCTTACCGGGAAAGATTCAGCATGTCTGACCTGGCGGCTGGCTCCATGGCATCTGGCTTCGCTTCCCTTCTTCCCAGCATTCTGTTCTGTCTACTCCACCTATCTAAATCCTGCCCTATCAAAAAGCCAAGGCAGTTTCTTTATTAACCAATGAGACTAACACATAGACAGATGACCCTCCTCCATCATAGTTCTACTGCTGATTTTACTTGAGTGGTGTGTGTATGTGTGTGTGTGTGTGTGTGTGTGTGTGTGTGTGTGTGTGTGCGTGTGTGTGTGTGGTGTGAGACGTGGTTCTCACTGTTTAGTCCCCTGGCTGACCTAGAACTCATTCTTGACTCTGCCTCTAGAGTCAAGAGTACTGGGATTAAAGACATATACTATTATTCCCAGCCTACTGCCAGGTTTATATTCAGAAGAAATGAACACATAGATCCAACTGGGTGGTGGTGGCACACACCTTTAATTCCAACATTCAAGACAGAGATTAAATTACATTTATTTATGTATTTATATATTGTGTGTGTGACGACAGAGAGAGGGGAAAGAGAGGAAGAAGGAGAGAGGGAGGGAGGGAGGGGGGAGGGGGGGAGAGAGAGAATATGAGAACATGAAAGTGTGTACCACAGCACAGAGGTAGGGTTTGCCCAAGTTCTTTTCTTCTGCCATGTAAGTCCCATGGATCAAACTCAAGTCATCAGACTTGACAGCAAGTGTTCTTACTACTGACCCATCTTGTTGACCCAGTAATCAACATCTTATTGTAATTTCTGTCAACGGGACAAAGAAGGTTTTCATAAACCTTTCCGAGTATGACTCAGATAATTGTTCACATTGTTGGACACCTGGGAACTTGTGTTTTAGACTAGAGGCTTTAGTCTTCAAGCTCCCTCTGGAAAAGGAGTAAGACTAGATTCCATGAATGAGAGAAGCATCCCAGTGATAGCAATAGGTGTGGAGAGGGCAGGTGTTGTGTAATTTGGGGGGAGTTATACAGTTAATACCTACCCCCAAACTGGACCAGTGCCAACAACCCTAAAATGACTTATTCAAGTTTATCCTTTTGTTTTGCTTTTCCAAACAGTTTCTCTGTGTGGCCCTGGCTGTTCTAGAACTTACTCTGTAGACCAAGCTGGTCTGGAACTCAGAAATCCACTTGCTTCTGCCTCCCCAGTGCTGGGATTAAGATATGCCTGCCTTCCTCTGATCAAGTTCATCTTAATGAGAACAATGAATTTATCAGAGGTTATTTATGGAACAGTGAGTAAGCATGGCCCACTCCACTCTTCCCTCTCTCTCCTATTGCAACACCACCTTTTACTAGCCCTGTGTATGACTTTTTAAGTCTTAAGCAGGATTCATGTAAACCTGGGTTTGGAGTGCTACCTACCAGCAGCATAGGCAACTATGGGCGTGGACAACATGAGGCACAGATAACAGACTCTAGGACAGAAAGATACATGAGTGTGTGCTCTGTCCTTCTTCTTAAAGGCTCTGTCTTGGCAGACACTGTGCAGGCATAAGAAGGGTAGCTTGCTTAGCTGTAGTCTGGCATAAGAACACTTAAAAATGGCAGCGTGCTGCAAGACAGTGTCACTCTGACCAGTATTTGGAGGACCAATTTCACTAGGTCAGGCTGATTTTAGGTCAGTTTGGAGCTTCTCAAGGATAGCAAATGCACAATGCTGAGGGCATTGTTCAGGACAAGGGACTATCACTCAGCTGTTTGATTATATAGTTTCAACAAATATAATACTACAACAAGGTGGTTACCTTTTAGTTTTCATATGAATGTGAGTTCATATAGATCTCATAAACTTAGATTTTAAATGAAGATGTTAAGTTCTTCTACTGAGTTAAATGTTAAAAGGATTGCTCCTGGTTCTTCCTACAGAAACAAAGGACTTTCCTCTTTGGACAGTGAAGATCTGTGTCTCCAGGAGGGAAAAAACCCAAGTTCTAAAGGGATCAGTGCTGAAGGTCGCCATTCTTCTGCAGCCCTCTGCCAGGAGGTAGAAAGGAACGGGGACCAGGATGCGGTGAGAGCTGGGACAGTCAGTCCCATTTTGTGATACACAGGGAAGCACTTGCTGACACCCAGTCCAAGTAGCTGGGAACTTCTTGATATGGTAGGCTTTGCAGAATCCAGGATGCTGCTGAGCACATCGCTAGTGGGCAGTAGAAGAAACTAAGACCGGTGTCATTCAGAGGCAGTGGAGAGTGTCCTTGCAGCCTGATGGACTTCCCAGATGGTCTAGTATTTCCTTGGCTCCTGAGTTGACTCCTGATTGGGTAATCTGTCTACCACCTCTACCCTCTTTCTCTGTTTTACCTGTAGTCAAGAAAAAAAAAATGTTTCTTTTAATTCAGATCGAGAATTAGTTTTAAAAAGGGTCAATACTAAAAGCAGTAAGCTCTAAGAAGGAAAGTAACAGCTCCCAAATGTAGACTGCCTAGAGATACAGGTATTCATAGAGACCTCAATCCCATGGGAACTCCAGTGCTGTGGTGTCATGTGACAGAGCTAGTCTGACACAAGTAGGTCTAGAGGGTACTATTACACTTCAGTTTCCCTTCTCATCACTGGGTCCTGTACGATGGGGACAGTCTCTTCTCCGAGGGGATTTGTTTTATCCATTCCTGAGAGTATACTAAACCTGTCAGCACTCTGTTTTACCGTCTTTGCCTGTCGTTGTTTAGTTCTTTTTTCCATGTGGTTGCATACTTTGTACCCTACCTTAACAAATACCTGTTCTGAGTCAGGCAGTATGTAAGGGGCTGGATCCATAATGGTGAATTGCAGGGAAATCTCTGCTTTTGTTGAGCTTTTGACGGTAAAGAAAGAGAACAATCAAAATAAATGTAGAACAGGTGAGTTGAGTGAGGAGGAGAAAGTTAGATAAGGACAGCAAGGAAGGGGATGGATGAGGACACCATTTTAAATGGAGAAACCAGGAAAGGCTTCCTGGAAGAGATGACATTGTTCAGTGGCCTTAGAAACTGAGGGTGGGATGGGCATGATGGAGCACATCTTCAATTCCAGTACTTGGGAAGCAGAGACAGGAAGACCTCTGTGAGTTCGAGGCCAGCCTGGTCTATATTGAGTTCCAGGACAGCCAGGGCTACACAGGGAAACCTGTCTTGAAAAATCAAAAAAAAAAAAAAAAAAAAAAAGGAAAGGAGCTGGGGTGGGCCATGGAGAGTCTCAGGGGAAACATCCAGGGAGAAGACTGACACAGCAGCTTGAGGAGGGCATGAGGCTGACAGGAGGGGCTGGAGAGCAGTAGATACCACTCGGAAGCCACATACCTAAGTGACTTTGGGGGAAGGTTTTTTTCTTTATTTTCCTTTTTTTTTTTTTAAATTGGTTGTTGTCTAGTTTCTTAGAGACAGCATTTCATGGTTTCATGTAGCCTAGACTGGCCTTGAACTCTTTATATAGCTAAGGGTAGCCTTGAATTCTTCATCCTTTTGCCTCCACCTCCCACATGCTAGGATTACAGGTGGGCACCATGACACCTGACAAAGTGACATTATAAAAGAAAATATGGCTGCTTTGTAGCCAGTTATATGCAGGCCAGAACAGTCTGGCTGGTAGACCAGGGCACTGGGTCAGGAGCATAGTAACTTGATGTCTAGTGATGGCTGTGTGGTCATGGGACCTATGGAGAGAGCAAGACAACAAAGCTTAGTGTTCGACATGAGAAACGAGTGAAAGGAAGAAACCAAAGACAACGGGGTTCTTGAGGTTTTTGTCTTGAGGAGCCTGGATGGACGATGGTCCTAGTTCTGATTATAAAAGTTGGACTGGAACTTGGAGAGATTAAGGAAGAAGTACAAAGATGAGGTAATGCTTCCTGGGGCTAAATTAAAGATACATTTACCATTCCAATGTACACTTATAGGATATGATTATTGAGTAATTTAGCCTTTTCTCTTGCTGTTCATCAGGATGTAGCCAGGTGTTCTAGGATTAGGATGTAGCCCAGTGGAGAGTATTTACCTATCATGTACGAAATTCAGTCTCCAGCAGTCTCTTTCTTAAAAAAGAAACAGACGAGTAAGTAAGGAAGTAGTAAGCATGTTCTGTAAAGGTAGTTTCCCCTAGCCTAGGTGTCCACAGATGCTAAGTGTAATCAGAATACAAAGGCTCTCACTTCTGTAGTTAGTATGACTAAGTGACAGAATGACTGTGTGCTCCTCCTAGCCTGGAATTTGCTGTGAAGACCAGGTGGGCCTCAAATCCACAGATCTCTGACAGCTTCTGCCCCTGGAGTGCTAGGATTAAAGGAAGATCTCTCTCCCTTTCTCCCGGCCCCCCCCCCACACATTCTTGAAGACTCATCTTCACACATTTAGAACATAACATTTTCTCCCTAACAGATACCAATACTAAAACCAAGTGTATTTTAGTAATATTCAGCTGTATTTAGCAACATTTATCTTTTACCGCAACCTCCCAGAGGAGCTGTGGAGTGGGCAGGTGGGTATAATCTAAAGGTCAAAGGAGATATGAGGTTGGACGTGCATAATGTGATTTGAAGTCACAAGATAACCTGAGAATGAGTTTCCGAAGGGCTGATGGCTAGATTCTGTGAGCAGTGTCAACTCTGGCCAGCTCCCATAGCCAAGGAACTTTCCGGTCCTGTAACCCCTTATTACTATGTCACACTCAACTCCTTTGTTACTTTCAAAAGGTTGTGACAACCACACATCCTGATTCCTGATCTGAACAAGGACCCACAAAAGAAGGCTGCTTTAGATGAAGTTACCTGCTGGCAGGAATCCTTCTGAGGCGAACCAAGGAAGAAACATAAGAATCATCCTGTTCTCTGCAATAAACTTCTTTTGATATAGAGTTCAGTGCCTGTGTTGATTAAGAAATTACAATGTAAAAAAAAAAAACAAAACAAACAGAAAAACCAGGTGTAGTGGTGCACGCCTTTAATCCCAACACTTGGGAGGCAGAGGCAAGTGGCTCTCTGTGAGTTTGAGGTCAGCCTGGTCTACAGGATGAATTCCAGGACAGCCAGGAATACACAAGACAAACCCTCTCTTGAAAACAAAAACCAAAACAAAAAGAAATGACGTTACATTTCCCCAAAAGTGTATTTTCCTCTGAAATTAAAAAGTTCACAGAAGGAGCCAACAAAAAGAGCCATCTTCCTGAATGCCTGTCTCGATTCACTTGGTTTGTGACTAAGTTATTCTTTCTGCCTAGGAATCACTGAAATTGAGCTTTAAGGTATCAATTGTATTGTTGTATTTTATTGCAATGCCAAATTTATTATTTGCCTTATTCCAGGAGTATTCTAGGCTCTTGCCTCCAATCTACACATGGTTCCAGGTGAAAAACTCAATTAAAAATTGTGAAACATTATATTGTGGGAAATTTCAGAAAAGTATATACAAATAGAGATAACTGTGTAAGAGACCCTCATCTAATCTCAATAAAGAAAATTTTATGGTCTGTCTTCACTTACTTTTCAACCACAACAGATTTTGTCCTAGATATGTTTTCAAAAAACGCCTGTCCAGGTGGTAGCCAGTGGACTCCTTTTCTTGCCCTGTCTTTGGATGGGAATGGCAATTCCAAATACTTCCCAGGTCCTCAGAGCCTCGACCCCTAGGGGCCTATCTGGATGCAATCCTTCCTTCCAGAGGCCGATGCAGGAGGAGCACAAGGTCCAGGCCAGACCTATTACGTAGGCTTAAGATGAAATATAAAAGGTTTCAGATATTGTTACATTACATATTTTCACAATATTTAATATTTGTCAGGTGCGCACTATTTGCTATCATGACACATTAAACACTACATTTGTATTTATAGTTTTTATTTTTCATATTAAACTACTAGCATTATAAGCTTCAACCAGGGACTGTGGCATCCTTGAACACCCACAAGCTGAGGAGAAACACCTCCGGGAGGTAAGGGAGAGGTGTAAAGACAGTGCTCTAGTTTTCTGTCAGCGTGCCATTCCAGGGACGTTGGTGTCGCAGACCACGTGACCCTGCTTCGCACTTCGACAGGGCCAGAGACACCACCCACGGGAACTGATGGAGGCAGGGTACAGGGTGCCCAGGGTAGAAACCAGCCTGAGAGCAGTCCGACTCTGAGGCAGCCTGGGAGGCCTGTGGGTCGGAGGTGACCAGACCAGCGCAGGAGAATCCATCTGAGGGGAGGGGAGGCTTGTGGGCCTGAGGCGACCAGACCATCTGAGGGAGGATAACTGGCCACTAAGAGCTTCCATCTGAGGCCACCCTTACCCACTCAAGATGCCATCAGCCCAGGAGCATCCATCTGAGAGGAAGCCTGCAGCCTGAGGTGGCCACCCTTTCCTGCTGAGGGCCATCACCCTCAGCCCGAGGCTATGCATCCTGTGTTGACTCCTGCTTTGGTCCCCACGACAGCGTGGGAAGCGCAGTGAGGCACACCCAGGTCTCTAGGACACAAGAAAGAGGAGCTGAGTCCCTAAGGCCCTGCTTTTTCCACATCGATACAATAATTTCCTCAGTTTTTCTTGCTCAGAGATTCTATTATTTATGGCTGCCACAAAAACTTGGAACTGCGATGACTATTTCAGTGTGGACAAACTAAAGGAGTGGCCAGAGCCGGAGTCTGTTTCTTTAATGGAGGTAACAGCATGGCTCCCCCCCCCTCTTTCTTTTCCTTTTTCTTCCTTCCTTCCTTATTTCTCCCTTCCTCCTCCCCTCTCTTCCTTCTCTCTTCCCTTCTTCCTTTTTCATAAGAAGCAAGATAAAGTAAATGGAGGAGCCCAGTGATAGCTCCAATTGTGAATCCACTATCAAGATTGGTCTGGCTTAAAAAGGACTTAAAGGTTTGATTTCTGAGATGTTGTCTTTCCATGAGACGCACAAGTCCTTGAGTTTATAACCAGTTTGGTCTCAATCGCCCATCTGTTTCCAGTATTAGAACAGTTCTTCTTGGCTTAGATTGGGTGGTCAGTGAGTGGGAGCACCTGGGTTCAGATTTGGCCAAAAGCCATCCTGAAGGAAAGACGGCACCAGCTGGCTGCCAGGCAGGTAAACACGAGCCAAATTTGGCCAAAGCGCTTCAGTTTCATGGGATTCTATGGTTTGACTCATTAGAAAGCGCTCTTGAGAATTGATCTTGCCCCTCTGTCATGGTGACAAGAAGAGTTGTGAAATGTGAGTTCACTATTTTTGTGTTTGTGAGCAACGGATTTCAGAGGAGCTGCTTCGGATGATTAGTGTGTCTATATTATCTAAAAACAAAATTGCAAAGAATGACTTATCAATGACAAAGACTATCTAGATCTCTCTTTTTTTAAAAAAATTATGTTACATTTTTTTTCCATTTTTCTATTTTATACTTTTTTCGAGATAGGGTTTCTCTGTAGCTTTGGAGCCTGTCCTGGAACTAGCTCTTGTAGACCAGGCTGGCCTTAAACTCACAGAGATCTGCCTGCCTCTGCCTCCTGAGTGCTGGGATTAAAGGCGTGCGCCACCACCACCCATTATATTGGTTTGTAGGCGTGTGCTTGCAGAAGGCAGACACACAGGTCTTTTTTAAGACTATTTTTTTTTAATTTACTTATTTTTATAACTATTTTTTCTCTCTCCCAAGCCTACATACATTTATCCAACACTGTGCCATATTTAGAGGTTTTGTTTCATCTGAGTTTGTTTTTACTGCATGTGTAATTATTTTCTGACCAGGAACACTTTTTTTTTAATGCTAAGCAGGTGTGGCTAGGACCAACTCTGAGGTCCTGCTTGTTGACTTTGCCCAGTCCAACATAGCAAAGACATGTTCACTGCCTCTGAGAGCCATGCACACTGCCCCAGCTCTAGGGTTGCAGCAGGTCTATGTCACCATTAAGCAATTTGTAACATGCTGCTCACAGATCTCATGTAAGTGCTTGGCCTCCCAAAAGAGCCAGAGCTATTAGTGCTGCCAGCATGAACCAGGATATCACCATTTCTTATGCTGAATCAGTAAATCTTTTCTTAAAGTAGCCATGGTGCCCCTGTTTGCCACCAGCAAACAGAGCCCCTCCAAATATATATATATATATATACCAAGAAGCTACACTAAACTTTGTGTGTGTGTCTAGAATTCCTTTTTAAATTCTCTCGGATTTTATGTGGCTGTAGTCAGCTCACATTGGTGCACCAATTTGTAGGTAGAGGCCACTTGCTCATTCCTGGCTGCCCAGACCTGAAATAATTACACAGAAACTCTATAAATTACAACACTGCTTGACTAATAGCTTAGGCTTATTAACTAACTCTTACATCTTAGATTAACCCATTTCTATTCTTTTGTATTTTACCATGAGGCTCGTGGTTTACTGGTAAAGTTCCAGGGCTTTTGTCTCCTTCAGCAATTACATGGCCTTTCTCTGACTCCACCTCACTTAGGATGTTTTTTTCCCCCTAGTTCCATACATTTACATGCAAATTTCAAGATATAGTATTCCAATGTGTTAATATACCACATTTTCTTTATCCATTCTTCAGATGAGGGGCATCTAGGTTGCTTCCAGGTTGTGGTTATTACAAATAATACTGCTATGAACATAGTTGAGCAAATGTCCTTATAGTATGATTGAGAATCCTTTGGGCATATAACCAAGAATAGTATTGCTGGATTTTGAGGTAGGCTGATTCCCACTTTTCTGAGAAACTGCCTTACTGATTTCCAGAGTGGTTGTACAAGTTTGCATTCCCACCAGTAATGGAGAAGTGTTCCCCTTACTCCACATCCTCTTCAGCATAAGCTATCATTGTTGTTTTTGATCTTAACCATTCTGACAGGTGTAAGATGGAATGATTTGCATTTCCCTGATGGCTAAGGATGTTGAGCGATTCCTTAAGTGTTTTTTGGCCAGTTGAGATTCATCTGTTGAGAATTCTGTTTAGCTCTGAACCCCATTTTTAATTAGATTATTTGGCATTATATGATGTCTAGTTTATTGAGTTCTTTATATATTTTGGAGATCAGTCCTCTGTCTGATGTGGTGTTGGTGAAGATCGTTTCCCATTCAGTAGGCTGCTTTTTTGTCTTATTGACTTGTCCTTTGCTTTACAGAAGCTTCTCAGTTTTAGAAGGTCCCATTTATTTATTGTTGCTTAAAAATGCTTAGTAAGCTTTTGGAACTTTATTTATTTTAAAGATATATTTATTTATTACATATACAGTGTTCTGCTTGCATGTATCCCTGCAGGCCAGAAGAGGGCACCAGATCTCATTACAGATGGTTGTGAGCCACCATGTGGTTGCTGGGAATTGAACTCATGATCTCTGGAACAGCAGCCAGTGTTCTTAACCTCTGAGCCATCTCTTCAGTTTGGAACTTTATTTTTTAATCTTAACTATGTACCATATGTGGGTATGTGTATTTTAGTGCTTGTGCTTAAAGAGGCCAGAGGTATTGGATCCTGTGGAGCTAGGCAGATGTGAACTGAACTGCCGGATGGACATAGGTGCTGCCAAATCAAACCTAGTCCTCTGCAAGAGCAGTATGTGCTTGCAACTGCTGAATCATCTCTCCAGCCCAGATTCCTGAAACTCTAACAAAATATGATTTCATGATGTAATGTCAGGGATGTGTTTCAAAATAGTCTAGGTGGCTGATGGAAAAATGAGTAGGGGTTTAAATGAAATAAGATTGATTGCTACCCATTAAAGCTAGATTACGGGCTCGTGGAGAACAGGATTTGAGGTTTCCCATTAAAAGGAGTTAGAACTATGCTGTGAGATACAGGCGCTAGGTTTTCACGAGTGATACTGGAACACTGGCCTGGGACTTGTCATTCCGATGCTTCCTTCAAAGTGTTTGACTTCCCATTCAATTTTGTTTTTAGGTATTAGCTCGAGAAGACATCGATGAAGCTGTGCATGCAATATTGTTCCGAGAAAACTACATCGTGAAGGTGAGTGGCTGCGTGCTGCCTTCTGGGGGAGCAAGAGTGGATGCCATGCTTGATGCTCTGAAGATGACATACTTAGGAGAGCAAAGGCTTGTGTTGGCTCAGAGATTCAGGGCATTCTGTCAACAGTCACTTCACATAAAGGCAGGCAGCAGCCAGAGCTGCTCACCCCTGGGCATTTAGGAAGCAACACGGGAAGCGAGGAAAGTGTGTCAGGATTTTCTTCAAAGGTCTGCTCTGGGCAACCTAACTCCCGCCTACCAGCCCTGCCTTCTAAAGTTTACAGCATCACCCCATGGCCTCATCAGCTGGAAACACAAACTAGCACACGAGTTTGGGGGCACATTTTACATTCAGGCTGTAATGTTCTGTCTGAGAGACTCGTTTGCAGGCAGAATGACGTGCCTCTGATTTATACCCTTGAGCTGTGTAGCCCTGAGAGGGTGCCACCCTTTGCAGGATCACTAAAGGTCCCACATCTTGTATGGATCTGCCCTTAAGGAATCTGAGGGATCGTTTTAACTGCTTCCCCCTCATTGACTTGTACCAAATGGAATTCTTTTCTAACAAAACTTGCCTCTTTTTCCTATTTTTTGTCCATACTGCATTGGGAAATATAAAAATCACCAGAAATTAATTAGCATTTAAGAGAAATGACCAATTAAGTTACTAATAATCACTATTGGATCAGCAAGCTTTAAAGGAGTTAATTTCCACCTGAAAGATAGTATTATAATAGTACTTTGACATTTTAATTGTGATTTGAATTTACAAAGTAAATGAACACTCATTCTTTGTCTCTCAACATAGTTTATTGAGTACACTGTAAGAGTCAATGGGCTAGGCAGTAACTAAATCACTTGCCCATAAATTCTCATTTAAATGAAGTATCAAAAGCAGTCTTGGGGTCAACGCCTTTCATAGGTCAGGGAGCAGCATAAAAGCAAGTTCAGTTTCTTTGTTCTTCCAGTTCCAGCACAGACCTTGTGGTGGTAAAACCTAGATAGAGAATGAATGTCTGGGCAACATTTTAACAAGAAATGAGAATTTGGTGAGTTAGGAAAGGTTTCATTGGGTTCATGAACTGGATAACAGTTTAATCCAAAGGTGCGGTATGATTTAGAAGTTTTCATATTTTCTTCCTGGCCTGTGTTTTCAAGTTCTGTCTCTGAAGTTTATTCTGCGTTCCAGTTATTTGGTGTGTGAGGACTAGGCGGTAAGAGCGGGAGCACTTGGGAATGGTGTTTTCTCACTGGAGTGCTTAGGAACTGGTGTTTTCTCACTGGAGTGCTTAGGAATGGGTGTTTTCTCCCCTGGAGCGCTTAGGAATGGGTGTTTTCTCACTGGAGCCCTTAGGAACTGGTGTTTTCTCACTGGAGTGCTTAGGAACTGGTGTTTTCTCTCTGGAGCGCTTAGGAAAGGGTGTTTTCTCACTGGAGCGCTTAGGAACGGGTGTTTTCTACCTCCCTAACAGAATGACAGGAACAGAGGTTTGTGATCCCTGTTGTTTGTGTTACTTTGTCAGAGAATGGATACATACTTTCAGCATCAGGCTGTTTTTAAGGAAAGAAGAAAAGAGATGTTACATAAGAAATGGGTTGAAAATGTAGCACGGCCTCTTCAGCAGAGAATTATAGAAAAAGTGATTTCATATAGAAGACCGGGACAAAGTCAAGTGAAATATGAATACTGCCTAAAGCACACGGATAAACCGGTTGGTACTGGATTTTATTGCTTCTTCTACCTAACTATGATGCCATTCTTTTTCTTGTCCTCCTGTCATTTTCTTCTCTGGCCTGATGTGTCCAGGTTGTCCCATCATTCTCACTGTGTGCCTGCTGGCAAGGGAGGGAGGGAGGCTGGTGCCGGGACTCTCTGGACCACTCCTTTTATCAAAAAGCAGAGTCTTCAGCATTCCCCAGGCCAACGTTTCAGCTTTCAATCTTACCGGGACTGGGTCAAATGGCAATTCCTAGTTCAGAACAGGGTCGGGAGAGAGCGAGTTCCTATCCCTGTGGGAGGAAGTGGGTGAGGGAGAAGCGGACTGCATTAAGCCTGGGGACAGACAGTTCTTTTCTTCACTGTCTTGACAGAACAGCACCATTCAGTGTCTTATTTTGAAGATGTGTTTCACTTTGAGGTCAGGAACCTCTTCAGGAATTTATGCCCTCCTAATTTGCAATATCAAATTTAAGTCTACTGGCTTTAAGTGTCCTCCTATTGGATCTTTGCTGTTTGGTTTCCTGGGTCTTTCAGCCCCAGGTATTTGCTAAACTGTAGAAGAGTTTAGACAGAACGTTAGAAACACTGGGTATCATCAAGTTCAGAAAACGTCCATTAACTATTAATTCCCAAATGTCCTAAGAGCTGGAACTCAAGATGTAATCCAAATGTGTTGGAATCAAGGAGTGTGATCTTTCGGCATTGAAGAAGTGGAGAAAGAGGCTTATGGTTAGCCGGAGATTCCTTTTAAATGGCCTCAGTACCTCCCACACCCTGACACAGGCTTACATTTCCCTAACCCCACCCCTCCCCAGAGCAGTGGGCAGTGTCCCCTCCCACTGGGAGGACTTTTCCTCCCAGACTGGTTAGAAACAGTGTTTGTGCTCCTAAAAGCTTGAACAGGTGCCTCTCACAACTAAGGTGTCACTTGCATGATTTGTTCTAGACTGAGAACGCGTGAGGACCGAACTTGGCCTTGGCGTAGCACGGAATAGCTGAGCAAATATTATTGACTAATGCAATGGCTTAGTAAAGCTATGAATAGAAGCCGCCTCTTGCACGTGGGTCCGCCCCCTCCTTTCTCCTACCCGCCATTACAGTCCGGGAAGCATTTCCACCGGAGGCAGCTTCTCCCCCTGCGCTGTGCCTGACTTTATTCCTAAGTCTTGATCATGGCTTTGGTGGAGAAAGGCCTCGCTGACTGACGTTATTTAGGGATAGATTTGATCACTCGCTGGAAACTGCAGCAGGGGACTCAAAGACTCTCATTTTCTCCTGTAGACGAAAGCCTCTCCGATGTGTGAGTGTCTGTTACGAAGAGAGCAAGAGCTCCGAGAAGCTAAAGGACCCCGCTACCAACACCGCACAGGTGCTTTGCAGTCACAGCTAAAAGTCAATCATTCCCACCCGGAAGAGCGCAGGGGTTGGTTTTACAGAGTTTGATTTTGCTCTGGTGTCTTCCTGTAGGGAAACAGAACGACATGCAAAAAGAACCTAAAGGAACCAAGAAGGCTCCCCTCTTCAGCAAATCACCCAAGTTCATGCTCACTTCCCATGGTATCGTTCCCAAAGAGAGGCAGAGAGCCTCTGCCCAGCCTGTGTGGAATAAGCCCAGTCTGTGCAGGTACAGAGTAACCAGATAAGTCATTCTGAGCTCTAGGGGTTCTCCCAAAAGAGAAGAGAAAGGGAGCATCTAGGAGCCAAGGGTGTGGAAACTGTTGGTGGTTATTGAACCCGGGTGGTAGATTCAGTATATTTTTAAGCGTTTATACCAAAAGTCACGTTTGAAAGCTCTTGTGATCTCTGTGTTAACAGAACAAAGGCATAATCATCTCAATAAATAAAGAATTAAAATAAAAAATCTAGTCACACCCCCCAAATTAGCTCATAATTAGAGAGATAGAAATTAGCTTACTTAATTTGCAATAGAGTTCTAGAAATCATAGAGATTTCATTGAAACACTAAATGCTTTCCCTGTGACTTCCTGAATCAGACAAAGAAACTCACAATTGCCACTTCAGATTTGTGCCAGAGACCTTAAGTAATAAGAGAGGGGAGAGAAATAAAAGGTAAAAGAAATGGGAAGCAAGAATAAAACCCTTCCTTTTTAACAGAAAATATGAGGCTCTACATAGAAAAACTCAAAGGCTATAAATATTTTTATTTTGAGGCAGGGCTTCTCTGTACAGCCCTGACTGTCCTGAAATATAAATAAATATTAAAAATTAAAAACTGCAGTGAGGGGCTCAGGAGCCCCCACCCCTAGCTAAGAGGTTATTGACAGTTGATAGCTTTTAGAAAAGGGGTAATAATTTTTTCTCGAGGGTGTGTCCCTTGGTAAACTGACTGTTCTCCAGTGCCTGGCCCCGCTCTCATGAGCATATGGACAGCACAAATTGAATCTTGTAACATGACTGGGCCGGCTTGTTGGGGGTTTCTGTCCTGCCCCCATATCCCACAGCCAGCAAGCCCCAAAGAAAATCACACAGAGATCTTTATAAGTTATCAAGCTGATTGGCCCATTAGGTCAGGCTACTTATTAGCTCTTGTAGCTTATATTAACCCATTATTCTGATCTATGTTAGCCATGTGACTCAGTACCTTTTTCAGTGGGGCAGATCACATCCTGCTGCTTTGGTGATCTGGGCAGGAGTGGGAGGAATCAATTTCCTCCTTCCCAGAATTCTCCTGTTCTCACTGCACCATTTCTACTTCCTGTCTGGTTTTCCCGCCTATATTTCCTGCCTGGCCAGTCAGTGTTTATTTAAAACATGATTGACAGAATACAGACAATTCTCCCACACCAGAATCTGGTGGGCAAAAAAAAAAAAAAAAAAAAAAAAAAAAAAAAAAAAAAAAAAAAAAAAAAGGACATGAAGTTGGGAGGGGATGAAGGATGAGAGATGGGGAATGAATCTGGGAGGAGTTAGGGGAGGAACAAGGGATGGTTATGACCCAAGTACATTGTGTACATGTATGAATTCTCGAAGAATCCATTAAAATATTAAAAGTAATAAAGTTCAGAAAGATTATCAAATACAAAGTCAATACACAAATCATTTTAATTTCGATCTAGCCAGAAAATGAAATTCTGTAACAAAATAGCATAGTAACAAAAGAAGCATACCTCTAGCCATCCACAGGACCACAGGACCTTATACATGATTTCTCATACATGGTACTTATTGGTCTTTGGGACCAGAAAATTCTTTGTTTAGGTTTTTCAGCAATATCTGTCCTCTGTCCATATGGCCTCACTTCCCTGATGATGAGTCCTACCTCCAAATACTACTCTGGAGGCAGAGTCAGGCCTAATTGAGAGCTACTTTAAGAGGAATAAAGTAAGAACTAAATTAGCCAGGTCATGGTGGTGCATGACTTTAATCCCAGCACTTGGGAGGCAGAGACGGGAGGATCTCTATGAGTTGGAGGCTAGCCTGGTCTATGGAGTGAGTTCCAAGACAGTTAGGGCTACACAGAGAAACAGACAAACAGACAAGAACCAACTTAATGGGAAGATGTACCATGTTCATGGATCACAGCATGTAACATGGGGGGGGGCTGCTTGTTGTTGGGGTTTTTGTCTCGCCTGGCACCCCCAGCTGTTTAGCACCAAAGAAAATCACACAAAGATCTCTGTAAGTTATAAAGCTGATTGACCCACCTCCCTCTCCAGTGGCTCTAGAGGTGGCTCTAGCCTCTCACTGGCTAACTCTCACATCTTGATTAACCCATTTTTCTGATCTATGTTAGCCATGTGGCTCAGTACCTTTTTCAGTGGGGCAGATCACATCCTGCTGCTTCGGTGATCTGGGCAGGAGTGGGAGGAATCAGCTTCCTCCTTCCCAGAATTCTCCTGTTCTCATACATCATTTCTACTTCCTGTCTGGGTTTCCCGCCTATATTTCCTGCCTGGCCAATCAGCGTTTATTTATAACATGATTGACAGAATACAGACAATTCTCCCGTACCAACAGCACTCAAAATTGAAAACATGAAAAGTTCTAAAATCTGTCCACACATTCAGTTCAATCTGAATGAATCAGAGATATTTGTCTGGAGTGTGTGTGTATGTGTGTGTTTATGTGTATATAGAAATTGAGCTAATTCTAAATTTTATAGGACTACTTTATCAGGTATCAAACTGACTTAAAAACTGTACCAAATCAACAATTAAACCAAATTAGAGAATCAAGAAATTAAATACATATAGATACTTTATTTGTACTAAAATAAGGCTATAGTGCAGAACAAGGGGAATAATATAGGATTTTCAATAAATGGTACTAGAAAATGAGTTTCATTATGGGGGGATTAAACTGGACTCCATTTGATGGAGGAAGGACATTGGTTAATTATAATAAAGAAACTGCCTTGGCCCATTTTATTGGATAGAAAATTAGGTAGGCAGAGTATACAGAAGAGAATTCTGGGAGAAAGAAGCTGACTCAAGGAGTCGCCATGATTCTCCCACTCCAGACAGATGCAGGTTAAGATCCTCCCTGGTAAGCCAGCTCGTGGGCTACACAGAATATTAGAAATGGGTTAGAACAATATGTAAGAGCTAGCCAATAAGAGGCTGGAACTAGCCGGGCCAGGCAGTGTTTGAAAGAATACAGTTTCCATGTAATTATTTTGGGGCATAAGCTAGCCATGCGGGTGGTCGGGTACCGGGGACGCAGCCCTGCCGCTCCTTAAATCAACAGAGTGGTGCCCGACGTGATGGGCTAAATCCACTTAAAAACCTGAGAAGGCTTAAAAATAAGGGAGAGAGAGTTTAACACAGATTTTTGCTGTTTGTTGGTGGCATGCTGTAGAGAGATTCCTGATTCAGCAACAGCAGCAGAAAAAAAGCTGCGTCATTTTAAAGCTCGGCTTCCTGGGGCTGTGTTGCCAGCGTGAACTCTGGCTTTAAAGCATTTCAAGGCTTTTATGGGACTGGATGTTTGTGTTCCCGCTTGGGATCGGAGGAGAGTGCTCTGAGACCGTGCAGATGGCTCAGAGCTCCCCGCCTGCACCTGGGCAGAAGGCAGAATCAGGCTTAGGCAGGCGGAAGAGCATGGCGGATTCCTGCTGCAATACAGAGCAGCATTTTCAGACTACGCAGTGCTCTGCGTGTCAGATTTGGCTGTAACTTGGATGAAAAGAGTTTCTGTGCTGCATACTCAGTCTCAGAATTAAACTGCTGATTGTGGCTCCAATGTGGACTGCTGTGAGCCTGGAACTGTGAATGGTTCAGGGGCACCAAATGGATCTGAGGCAGGAGTGGCTGCTCCATGCTGAACTATGCTGACCTCAGACAGGAACTACCATAAATGCCATAATAACAGTGCAGTTAAGGTTTAGACTGGGCAGGACACAGACAGTACCATATTACCTGTATATGGCGCAGCTTAAGTTTTTAAGAAGTGCTTAACATTTTAAAAAATGCTCCTGGATAGTAAAAAAAAAAAAAATACAGATTCACAGTAAAACAGATTCAGACACTGTTGGATGAATGTACGTAGGCTTGGGAGAGAGAAGAAAAAGAATATAAAGAATAAAGTTAATGTCTTAAAAAGAAAAAGGATAAAGTCTTTAAAGAGACAGAGTACAGAAGTACAGATAGTTATAGATTAAGAGAAATAAAGAAAAATAAGCCACGTAAAAATGGAAAATTCACAGAGAGTCTGGATTATGTACATTGTGTTTTCTTTAAAATTTTTGACTGTGAAGGAGCTAAGTACAGAGAGACATTTCATTATATGGGCTGC